CCCTAATTGGGTCGATGGTGCTGATGAAACCTTACCTGATCAAAACAGCTGTTTCGTGCATTTTAGCTTTGTAGCTCACGCCTCATTCACACGAAGAATTCGTCATATAATCAAATTAAACCCTACATTACTCCCATAGAACTACGAAATGCAGACGGTAGATAAGATGGAAATTTAAACGTTTTTGGAATCTATCTATATCAATAACACGAGATCCATGGATGGAACGGATCTCACTGGAAAACTTGGGCGTTGTGCTCATGATTACTGAGGAAATTAGCTTGTCTTAGCCACGACAAATGAAAACCAAAACACAAAGGCGTTGGTGACAACTTTTCGACCCTCTTGGAAGGCCTTTCTCAAGTCGTTTAATCGGTTAAGCTCACGTTACAAGCAATATAGGGCGATGGGATAATGACATCGAATAGAACTCGGATGTGATTCGAGCACGCGTGTATGTGTATGTATCAGTCGATCCGATGGGGCAGTCATTCCACAGTTATGGCAACAATTAACACTTGTGCATACAAAATAGTCTCGCCCCCACCCCACAGACCAAGTGATTAATTTCACACGTTGTGACCCAAAGGTCAAACCAATCTTCCCGCAAAGGATCGGCCCGTCGCATTTCCAATCTTACCGTATTTCAATTGTTTTTTTTCTGTCACGTGACGTTTGTTGACTTGTTTCCCTCAGGGTCCTCATATTCACCATTTCGGTCGACTGCACTGATTGTTCGTTTGCTGATATAACATTTCTTTGACAGTCTAGTAGTCTAGTTTCTCCTCGGTCTGTCGACCAACACTCGAGTGTGTTAAACACACGCTCTGTCAACGTATTGATTTGTTGTTTTGATCCAGAAAGTAATTTAAAATAACGGACAATCAATAAATATTCATTACAGAATAAACGGAACATGGTGAACCAGTGAGCACCTACGTCTATCTTATTTCTAAATCCGACTACGGGGTGATTCATTCTCATTCGGATCATTCAAACGGCTTCATCCGTGTGACTGTAGTCGGTGAGTACGGCGACAGTGATTGGTTGCATGCAATACATCGGACTGACAGCAAAAATCATCTACATCCTATAAGGTGGTACAGGCACAAAAGAGATTTATTCCCATTGCAGAATCGGAACTACCTCCGGTTCACGATTCAATCAAGAATCAAACGCCTGGATCAGGACGAAGTCCGTCAGACAGATTGAATTTTCCTTTTTTTCTTTTCATTTTCAATTTTTACTTTCTTTTATTGACTGAGTATACAAATATATAATTTTCAGGAAGGGAGAAGCGGCCAATCAAACGGCTTCCTTTCAACACACAAATGGGGAAAGTCAGGCGGTGGTGGTGGGATTCGAACCCACGTCCTCCGGGGTGATATTTTGATGACGTTACCGCGGGGCCAGGTTGTCGAACGCTAGCCACGCCGCACCAAATAAGCCTCCCCTTAACAGGATCCACGTACAGCTCCATTGCAAAGTGTTTTGCTCCATAGTCGTCTAATTCGGTCGTTCTCCGTCGAGGATGCTCGGCGGCTTTCAGTATGTGATCACCGTTGTCTGTGTCTGGTAGGTACGTAGGTACATAGGTAGGTGGCACATTCATCGATATCCGACACTGAGTATTCATTATGTTCACCTAATCGTGTTCATCGCCTAGAATTCTTCGACTACCAATGTTTACCTAGTTTGGCACGGGTTGGATGGAGCGAGCGTGTAAGCTACTCTGAGGTGAGACTTCGCGTATTTGGTAGTAATTCGCTGATTCGATAGATTTCAGATTATTCGGTTTCGCCGGTTAAGACACCTCCGCATGTCCAGTCATCGTCCACCGCACCACGCCTTATTCGCAGTTGCGGCTCCACGTTATGAGAAACCACTGGGAGGTCAACGGATGACGTGGAGACGGGGCATGAAGAAATGTACAGAGCGATTAGATAGAATAGGTGTCTCCTGTCTTCCAGGTTGGGTTCCAAAAGACTACAACTGATTGATTGGAGTCATTGAAGGATATGGCAACTAACCGGCAACAGTGGTGTTCTTGTTGTCATTTCTTATCAGGTCAGAATACTTAAAACTGTATGTCTGCAGAGTTTGATTGTGTACTCTGTGTGTTGACCATAGAGGTTCACTTTCTTTACCTCCCTCCAGTTAGGCCCAACCACTCTCCATCTTGTGCTTTATCATTTGATCTGTGGATATGGTGAGCTCGGCAGTGATCAGTGAAGTTCACTTTACTGTATCTCGCTGTACAATGATGATGTTTCGTCTTCTTAGAATTCTGTAATGCTCCAAAGAAACTTCTAGCCTTTGTCTCTCATCTACAAACACCTACATCATTTCCTAGATCAGAACAGACTACAGAAATGTTCATCCACCCCGGGATGAATAAAATGTCCTGAATTCAGTAATAAAGAATTATCTCGGTTCTTCATTTATAGAATCAACCATTACCGCCATGCACCCTACAACTTCGTTATGTTGTGGTAAATTAGTCATGAGAACCTCTTGTGTCCAACCGCTGTTTTCCTTCGATAACCAAAATAATTTGCCATACTGGGAATTAACGGTTTTTGTTTTAACTCAACTATTTAATCCCTCTTTCCCAGGATAAACTTCTTCGAAAGCTGTATACATTTGTCACTCAGGAGTCCAGTCATGTGAAGTTATTGGTCGATTTTTTCCGTGCTCAAGAGGCTTTTCTGGAGCAAAGTTTGCAAGTTGTACGCAAAGCCATTCCAGATCTGCTGACCGTTATCGGTAAGTACACAATTTGTGGTTATGCATCTCACTGTATTTATGTGCCCTTTTTCTGTGACCACAGGTGTGCTTCTTGGCAGCTTTATTAACAACCCTCAACAAGTGAAGTTTAAATTGCATGCGTTTTGTTTATTTATCAATTAATTGATTTAAGCAGATCGCTTTGTCACGTGACTTCTGTATGTTATTTGCTTTTTATTCCCATCAGAATGATTTTGTTAGTTAGTAACTGAACAATAAACCAGGTTATAAGAACTACGTCCGTGTGGTCTGATGCGATCAGTATATAATTGATTTTTATTCTGGGATACCATGGGGTGATATCCTGGGGTGAATTGTCGATTGCATCGATCAAAGTCCTACCCTGCACCATCGTTAGTCCATTTAGATTGCCTTTCCTGCAGCGAGAAATAAGTTGTACAAAGATCTCAAAGTCCTGAATGTGTGCTAACCCGTTATATTGTCTTTTCTTCTTTTGACTGTTAAAAAACTGCATTCCTTCACGGTATCAGATCTAAATTTCAGGAATGGATGTCTTTGAAATAGTGCGTCTTGCTCATAGTATTAGATCCGTATAGAAATGTTTAGATTAACCACAACGGGAGAAAACATAACAACATCAACAATTTTCTGGTTGAGGACGTTTCGACCCTCTTGGAAGGCCTTTTTCAAGTCAATTAACATATATATTTTATACTTTTTCACTCACGTCTGAATCTAGACTGTGACAAGCAAATCATGGTACAATAATCTTTATAAAAAACAAAAGTATTTCATGATTTGTATGTGGGCGAAATACTACCAGATTGCCCAGGCCAAGGCCGGTGAATTTTCTTGAGGAATCCACAACCGGAGTCTTGGGCTAGCCAGAGCCTCATTCGCAAGGCAGCGGAGCAGTGTGTCTAAACCTCAATCCATTAGGGGACGGTGTGCAGTTCATCGGATCATACGCTCTTTAAACGGGGTCAAACATCCAAGGTACCAAATCGAGCCGGTGATCCCTGCCACAACCAGGAAGTTGTGTGTGTGTGATTCGTACGCCTCCTCATGGTTAGTTTGAAATCAGGGCTTTTGGCCAACTTCCCTGTCTCCAAAAGCCTCACTATGGTCGGAGGTGCGTGTCTAGGGTTGCGGCTGATCACCCTCCCGTTGCACCTCGCGAAATGCTCTCATGCGAACGAGCGTCGCAAATAGCCTCTACTGAAGAAGCCCTGCTCACTGCCTNAGACGTTTCCCACCAAAGTGGGAAGACAAAATGCTGATATCCGGGGCTACAGCAATGTTTGTGGACTGCTGATAGTTCATCTAAGGGCGTTGACCAAAATCCCTGATTCTAAACCATCCATGAGGAGGCGTACGAACCACATACACTTTCCCGGTTGAGGCAATGGTCACTGATTCGATTGGGCACCTTGGACGTTTGACCCCGTCCAAACGGTGTATGATCCGATCAACGGGATACCGGATCTCAGTGGATTGCAGTTTACACACCGCTCCGCTACCTTGCGGTTCAGGCTTTGGCTAGCCGAAGACTGCGGTTGTGGATTCCTCAAGAGAATTCACTTGCCCTGGCCTGGGCAACCTAGAAGTATTCCGCGGAACGCCTTCTTTTTTATGATGATTATTATACCATGATTTGTTTGTCACAGTCTGGATTCAGACGTGTGTGAAAAATATTAAAAAAATACCAACTTCCCTAGGTGAACTACAAGTGGTCCACCAACCCGGTTATAGCCCCAGATGTCGGCTTTTCGTTCTCTCACTTTTGTGGGAAAACACCTCCGCCACGAGTAGGCAGGTAGTAGGACTTCCTCAGCAGATGATGTTCGAGCGCTTGATCCTATGACAGCATTTCGTGAGGTGCACGTGAGGAGTGACCAACCGCAACCTAGACAACCACTCCCGACCATACTGAGGGTTTTCGAGGCAGTCAACTAACAAGCGAACAATTAACAAAAACGGAGATAAAGCATATCAAAATGAGGAACTGTTGATTGTGTCGATCTCAACTGCGTTATTTCGTTCAACTGGAATACCGGAGAAAATTCCGAAGTGTTTGATTTAATGATCTCTCTATTTGCATGTGTGTGTGCGTGCGTAATTTAACCGTTTTATCACTGCATTCACACTGGTTCTATACATTTGAGATTATGTCGGTTTTTTTTCGGAGGTGAACTGCTGAATAAGACTTGGTGGTGGTGACTCAGTGGTTTAGTCACTGGCATGCTTTGGACCCCATGTTCCGAGGTTCGAGCCCTGCCACCGCCACCCAACTTTGGTGGTAGACAGCTTTGCTGTCGTCCGGTTCATTGCGACACGTGACTCATCGGGGCTTCGCCAGTCCAAGTCCCGGGGCTTAGGTTACCGGTTTCGATGACGAAGCAGCAGGTCTTCGTGATTATGGGGCTCGTCCCGTCTGCTGTTCACCACACAAAATGTGTGTAATAAAAAAAAATGAATCCACACTCACAGCGGAGTTACCCGTTCGTTCGCTCTGGGAACGCATGCATGCACCTGATTCGAAAACCGAACATCGGTGTAATGTCGCTGTCATGATAGATTTTTAAAGATCGGATAACGACTTTAATTCAGCTGCCCTCCGATAGTTGAATGCCTAATTTTCAATGAAATTTCTCGAATCACTAACGGGGCCGTTCATTCAACAGCCCAGTTATTAATTTCTCAACTATACCTCATTCGACACCATAGTATAAAAGCAAATTGTAAACGTTATGCGGTCCAGTGAATCTTCCTTGGAAGTTATCGAGGATAAACGAGACGCGCGCTCATTTGGGTGTGAGAGAGATGGAGGATTGCTTCAAAACGGTCAGTTAAGTTCAGTTTAAACAATATTAAGCTTATACTTCCATGCGTCGATTTTGGTTGCTGTCTTTTGGCGGCCCATTAGGGTGAACAATAGGAGGAAAAAAGAAAGGTTGCCAGTAGGATTGTAAGACAATAGAGAAGTTCAGTGAACTAATGATGCAAGGAAATTGAGAAGATGCACGAACGCCACTGTTTGCGACATCCAGCCATATCACTCAGCGTCTATAACCATCGGTCTCTATCATCCCGAGGTCCCCAGCCACGGAGCCTAACGAGACCTATGTGACCCAGACTTCTGGTTAAGCTTTTCATACCCATGCCAGGTCCTAGGTTGACCACTCTTGCCTTTGTTCCACCCCTTACCTACCTCAACAAACATCGCTCTTCGTGGTAACCTATTTGGTGACATGCATAACACATGCCCCAACCAACGTAATCTATGCAGGTCGACAGTTGCTCCAGTTGGCAACCGAGGATACGTAAAACTCTGCGCCTTACCTCAGCATTGCTCGTCCGGTTTCCCCACCAGATTCTTGTACTACTGCGTAGACAGCGTTGTTCAAACAGCGACAGTCTATCTTTGTCCTCTTTTCTTAATGGCCTAGTTTCTGCGCTGTATAGGAGAACTGGCCGTATTGCTGCAGCTTATACTCGAATCTCACAGATAGCCGGATGTAGCGACGGCACCACAGATGTTTCAATTTGGCAAATGCCAACCGAGCCTTCTATATGCAAGCTGACACTTCATCCGTGATGCGTCCATCGGGTGAGATATAGCTGCCCAAATAACAAATTTTATCCACCTGCTCTATTGCTTTCCCAGTCAGAGTGAGGCTGGGTGCAGGATCAACCCAGTTTTGTAGTAACATTTTACATTTTGAAGGTGAAAAACGCATAGCGAACACTAGCACTCAAACTATCCAAAAAAGCTTGCAAATTACCAGGATCTTCACTTAGTAGCGCAACGTCATCTGCATACTCTAGATCAGACAGTCTGCCACATGGGAGTAAATCGATGCCACTATCCTTGCACGAGGATAGGTTTGTTTCCATAATCAAATCTATGACGAAGTTGAATAGAGAAGGACAGAGAGGGCAATCCTGACGAACACCACTTTTCGTGGTGATCTGGAGTGAAAACGTGGCGTAAGCTCTGACTCGGCTTCGGCTATCATTATAGAGGGATTGTAATATTGAAATTAAGTCGCTTTCAGATTGAGGTAGACAGAGATGTTGGTCCTGGGGTCCGTATTCCTAATTAGACGGGAAAAATTGCAACTAATACCAATAGTCGTAGCCTTCGTCATCTCTCTACACTTTCCTGTTCACCACTTCTCGCGGTCATTGCTCAGACTCTTGATGAGCTGGTGTTTAAGGGATTTGCGCGCTGTGTCATATGTGGCATCGAGAGGGAGGGTTCTGGGAGATTCCAGCAGGGCAGCCGAGGTTGATGAGATCCACCTTTTGTGTTTTGAGACTGCGCGGGTATCTGACGTTGTTTTTTGCATACCTTCCTTCATTTGTTTCCAGTGGTCATTGAATGTTTCGCCTGATGGTTGAACTGACAGGCGATCGGAGAGTTCCGCTTCGAAGACTGATTTGCAACAATCGCTGACGCTGTGTCGTGGGTATCCATTGTCGGTGGCTTTTTTACGGTTGTTTGCCAGGTGTGAGGAGAATTTGGCTCGTAGCAAAGCGTGGTCCGTATCCGCAGGTGTTGACCAGTGAGAGCGACAGTCTTTAGTCGATCCCCTCCCCAACTTTAACTGATGGCCAAGTGGTCAATTTCCGTCCATTGCTGGGAAGAGGTTGACGGATTCCTTCTTAGGCGGTGTCATTTCTTGTGCGAGAAGATCATGCTTGACAGGTGCAATATGTGGTCTGCACAGGGTTGAAGTAGGCGTCGCCGTTGTCTGTCCGGTTGGTTGGAATCGCATATGGTCCACCAATAAGCCTTTTTGATACCTCCAGGGATACTCCTTTAGCATTGAAGTCTCCGATGACTACCACAATGCCCGTCGATCGAGCGGTTTGGAGTAATCGAGAAAGATCCTTGTAGAATTTATCCTTGATTTCAGGTGTGCTGCGGTCGGTGGAGGCATACACCGACACGACGAATAGGCATCGACGCTTCGTTCTGTAGCTGTTGACCCACTATCACCAAATTGAGATGGTCTGTCGCGGGGCTCGAAACTCGGACCATAGGATCCAAAGCACGCCAGTGACAGCGACCTAACCACTGCACCACCACACCGGATGTTTTGACGGAGGAAGAGTGTTACGAAAGATGGCGTTATTTCTTATGGTTACTTGTTAGGTTGATATTGCACAAAGCTTATGGCAACAACCAGGTGTTGTTGAGTAAGCGATGATGAAAATGATTCGCACATGAAGTAAACAACTCACAGAATTTGTCATTTTCATTGTTTATTTTTTCCAAAACTCACAAATTATATCCTTTTCAGAGGGAACTGCCAAATTTTGATATCCCAACTGTATCTAACCGTTGTTGGCACAGCACTGGCTTTATTGATCAAATATACACCAGGGCGATTGAGTAGTTTCTATTCAATGTCAACAACGCACCCGTTTCTACTTGGGAAATGTAGAAACGGGGAAAATGGGCAGCGGTGACCGAGTTCTGACTCAGAACCTCTCCGATCGCTGTCAACGTAGCCTTAAGTATTTAAACACCACGGACTGACAATGAGTATGGGCTGAATAAGTAGTTTTAGTTGACAAAGGAATGTTGAAAAAGGGCACTCATTATGCAAAACGGGACTCTAGGATTATTGAGTTTGTCTTCAATTCCTGTCACACGAACTTCTTATCTGTTTTACAGTTCCGGTATTTTCTATTTACAGTAGCGCTTTCCCGGATCTGATCATTCTCGGTTCCATTTCTGTCATAGTCGGGCAGAAATCATATGAAATCCAATAACCGGTGGTGTCTGTACACTATTATAAACTCGTCTTTCTCTCAACCTCTTGTCCATATTCAACAATTATTTTCTCCCTGTAAGTTGGATGGGTAAATTCGAATGTGAAAAGATCAGTGCTCTGTCGGTGTGGTCTCGTAGCTCACCAGCTGGTGGAGCATGCGCGTACAAAGCGTAGGTGGCGTCCATGCGTGGGTTCGAATCCCACCGAGGCTACTGAACTTTTCGCAATCTCGACATACAAACTTCAAATCTGCCAATTAACCATTTGAACAATAATTTTCTCGTTGATCGCTTAACCGCTGTCACAACAGAATCAAATCTGTCTACGCTTACTAAACAGAATACGATCAAGAAACATTTTGATTATCATCTTTTTTTCCACGATTTCTTTACCCTGAATTTTTCTAAATGGTGAGTGTTATTCTTATTGTTTTCCGTATTAGTCACATATATAGTCAATTTTCCTGTTGTCCTTTCCACGTCATAGAATGCAACAAACCCCTGACTGTATTCCACAAACACCTGCCGGATCATCTGACCGAGTCAAATCGATTCATATCGTACGTTCTCGAGAGATGTATTACCCGATTGGACCACGAATCCACACTCCAGGAAGAGGTATGATTGACTATCGTTATGTCTCCCTTCTTTGGTTGAATATAAAGCCTAACCGTACTGTTCCATTGTCGGTGCTATCTAACGGGTACTGCTTGTCGGCGCACCACAGAAGTCGGTGTCAAACATGACCTGTGATTTTTTTCTTTTCGTCTTGTCGTGTTGTGCACGAGTTATTCCATCCAGTGGAGCAGTCACAATGTGACAATAGTGTAGTGATTTGTGTGTAAGCTGCAATAATAGATTCGGACTGAACGCACATGGTTGTTTGCTTTCTCCAGATCACATGCTTCCTTACACACACACACACACACACACACACACACACACACACACACACACACACACAAACCGTCATTCCGTGTTCAGTAGACACACCCAGCCCTGACGATTGCGCTAATCTGTTCCTTTCACGTTCCCAGGTAGTACGCTGGCCTTAAGGGCGGTGGTGTCCAAGTGGTTAGGTCACCAACTTGTGACCTGGTAGTTCCGGGTCCGATTCGCTCCATCACCGCCAACCGTCTTCCCAGGCAGCCTTTGTATGACCGCGGCCCCCCTTCCTGAATGTTGACTGTACATTTGTATATTCGATTGATAAAAAAGGAAGTAAAAAAACCTGATTTACATTTATTTATCTTGAGTTCCTTGGAATGAAAATTATGTGAGGTAAAGCGACGATGTGTTCACACTTTCGCTGAAAACTAACGGTAGAGAATACTGGTTTAAGTTTTGCAGTAAAACTTAGACCAGTATTCTCTTTATCGCCGGTGATGTGAATGTTCTTTCCAAACATAATCCGAAGTTCATCCAGTGAACAATATATACTTCGGAAGCATTAGAATCGAGCTTTGCTTCTCCGCGGGGCCCATCAACAGTGCATATCCATCGTCCCGTTCGGGCTAGGGAACTCCGGATCGATTGTATTGAGGATGCGTGTGTTACACTCCAGTGCCAACCCGGTCACATCGGAGTTGATCGTCATTGACAATTCAAGATTGTACAGTTCTCCTCTTCACTTTTAGTAAACCATATACTTGAACCGGACAGGAATGCAAGGATGTTGATTATATATGATTATCTGTGAACTACATTCGAAAGTGATTCAGGCTGAGAAACGCATGCCACAAACCTACTAAGCTACTGGAAATTCACTCAAACAATTATTATTTCGCACACGTCTGACGCCAGACTGTGTGCCCAACATATGGTACAATAACTTTAAAAAAAAAGAAAAACGTGCAATGATTTGTATGTGAGCAGAATTTAACCAGGTTAACCAGACCAAGGCAGGTGAATTGGCTTAAGGAGTTCAGCCAAAACTTGACCCGCACGGCAGCGGAGCGGTCTGTGAAAACCGCAATCTATTGGCTATTTGTGTCCATTTATTGTATCATAGGCCCTTTTGATGTTGTCAAGCCCCCAACGTGCCCAATACACCTCAATGCCCAATCGAGCTGATGACCACTGCCACAATCTGGAAGTTTTGTGTGTGTGTTTGGTTCGTACGCTTCTTCTTGGTTGGTTCGGAATCAGGGATTTTAGCCAACTCCCCTAGGTGAACAACCAGTGGTCCACCAACCCGGTTATAGCCCCGAATATCGGCTTTTCGTCCTCTCACTTTGGTGGCAAAACACCTCCGCCCTACGAGAAAGCAGTGTGTAGGGCCTCCTCAACAGAGGCTTTTGGAGAATCTTGGTAGTACGGTAACGGATGAATCATTCTTGGCCACGCGATTAACTTTTATTGTGTGAGTGACGGTGATTCAACTCCATATACTCATCTGATGTCAGCACCAATGTATCCCTGATTCCAAAGAACTGGATGACATTTTCGGTACGTCTATTTTTGTGGGATGAACAATTATCACCCAGTGATTAGCATTCAATTGTGCCTATGAATACGGGTTATCGGTCGAACCGCTCCACCGCCACCTGTCCTTCCAGGCAGCCTTTATATGACCGCGGCCCCCCTTCCTGAATGTTGACTGTACATTTGTATATTCAATTGATAAAAAAGAAATTAAAAAGATAGTAATAATATTATTCCCGATTGCTGATTATCTATTACCAATTGGAGAGATCAGGAATTTGAAAAAGCCAATGCGAAATAATTGAAAATTGGATCAAAATTTCATTTAAGCCAGGTGTTGTTTCACATATGGAATCCTGTTTTAGTGAACGGAAATTTGGTTAGGATTGCAAGTTTGCATAAATTTATGTGGCCAAAAAACAGACAAACAGCTCCACATTCTATGTGGAGCTCGTTTAGGAAATATTGCTTAGGCCAAATCAATCAATCAATTGCATCAGCAAAAAAATTGAGCATGGAATTGACACAGTTGGCTGGCTTACAGTCCATATATGTCAATGTGCACTTCGGGATTTCAACCTGACTTGTGTTTTGAGTCCTTTTCCAAATGCAAATATCCCTTCCTTTACACATGGTCCTTAGACGAAGATTTCTTCACTCAGCATCACTATTCTGATCTAAACTAAGCCTCTTTTTCCAATGCTATCGATATATTTGGTCGATAGATTGAGAAGCGGCAGTCGATCGCGTCTCTTTTTTCGTCCCTTTTCAGAGATAGTTGGTCAGTCACATTGTCCTTACCACAGAGCAATTAGTTTAATCAACATTGCCTCTAAACTTCTCGCTGGGATCATACTCCGTCGATTGTATACCGCACGTGAAGAGTGCACGCATGAGAACCAGGTTGGTTTTGGACCTGGTCGAGGTTGTATCGACCACATCTTCGCTCTTCGCCAAATTCTGGGGNCTGGGGCACGGGCATTCTTTTCGTAGATCCACCATCTCTATCTTCATTAATCTGAATGCGGCTTACGACTCAGTCGATCGCTTTAAATTCTGGAGCAGCCTCAATCTCAAGGGTGTACCTGAGAAGTTAATTTCAATATTACAACCCCTTTATACTCATAGCCGAAGCCGAGTCCGAGCTTACGGCACGCTTTCACTCTAATTCATCACGGAAAGTGGTGTTCGTCAGGGTTACGCTTTCTCCGTTTCTCTATTTAGGTGGTAGTGGCGCAGTGGTTTAGTCGCTGTCCCCGGCGTGCTTTGGGCCCTATGGTCCAAGGTTCGAGCCCCGCCACCACCACCCGACTTTGATGGTAGGCAGCTCTGCTGTCGTCTGGTTCAATACCACGCCTAACCTATCGGGGTCTTATGCGGTTCGTCACTCCAAGTTCCGGGGCTTAGGTTGCCGATTTCAACCACTGAACAGCAGGTCCTTGTGACTATGGGGTTTACCCCGTCTGCTGTTCATCACACCTAGGTGTGTAATAAAAAAAAATTAACTTCGTTATATATTTGATTATGGAAACAACCCTATCTTTGTGCGAATATAGTGTCATCGTTTTGCTTCGGGATGGCGAATTCGCTGATCTGGAGTATGCAGTGGCGTTCGTGCACCTTCTCAATGTCAGTTACGGGATTTCTCAATTTTCTTGCTGTCCTTCTCTTACTGTTTCATCCAAATGGGCAGCCAAAGGATAGCAACCAAAACCGGCGCACAAAAGTGCATGTTTAATGGTTGCAGAAACCGAAACCGAACAGTGTCCTTATCTTCGAAACGGCATGCGAAAATATGCTCCAGTTTCTGAAAAATGTTTATCACACAAATGAGTGTGACAACGAATTGAAGATTTGAGACTTAGTCAAACGAAATTACTGTTCGCTAAAATAACTGCTACCTAGCTCCTGATTTCTTTTTTTAAATAAAAGCCGCTTTAGCTTCCTAGTGTTGTGAGANGTGAGATACTACTCACTTGTGAATGGTAATTTATTTCAACGATCAAAAATCAACACGATCACCGAGGTCAATTGGCTGGGTCTCAAAGAATAACTATCGAAGGGTACATTCATTTCCCGTCGTGTGGACAGGAGCTGCGATGGTATGTTTCTGATTAGATTTTTGTTTTTATGTATTCCAAATTACTGATGTCCCATCTGTTATCCTCAGCAAACGACTATCCTTCTGGAATTATAATACTAGTACCTTGTTAGGCTCAAGGAAAATTGAGGAGTCTTACGGTACACTGATTCCTATTCGGTTACCCCTTGGGCGATGGGAAGAACATTTTGAGGTATAGTTCCACCGGCCCCCATTGACTCGAGACCTCCTGATTCCTGCAGCAACCAGGCCGATACTTCCAGTTGATATCAGTCCTTTATATGAGATAGACGTTACTCAGGAAATAAGTTATATAAGAAGGTGTAAAGCTTCCAGTTTAGATGGAATGTCTGATCGGCTTTTAAGGATGGAGATTCAGCATCGGTTTTTGATGTTGAAGAAACTCCTAGTTTCACTATGGGCGAGTGAGAAGGTTACAACTGAATGGTATGAATCTGTAATGATAGCCGATTTGCAAGAAAGAAGATCGCAGGGAATCAGTGTGATCAATATTGTCTCGAAAGTTCGCGTGGCCATCATACTCCATTGATTGCCAGTCTGAAGTTAGCAACGAAAACCGCCGCACGAAGCTGCATAGGTAATGATTTTAAAACTGAACCGGTCGTATATTAATGTAGAATCTTGAGAATAGACGGTGTTAGATGTGTTGTGAACTCCATGGACTGGCTTCAAGCGATTTTTGTTTGCTACTTTTCGACGGATATCTCAACCTCAATTCGATCCAATTTTATAAGGGTTAGCGGTATCGGTCACCATTGAGAGAGCAACTCACTTTCGAGTGGTCGTTTGGTTTCTCGAAGGCTCCCATAAATTAAAAAGTTATTGCATCCACCTTTTCATTCTGTACCCGCCCCCGCATTGATAAAATAAGCCTCATCTCGGGCGTCGCTCATCTATCGAACCTGTTCCGCTCCGTGATGAGTAGCTCGTTAGGTCCGCTTTCGCCCTGGCTGTTTGCCTTTTATGCATCGGCATACGAAATCGAAAGAGACTATATTGTCCTAGCTCACGTGGCACACAAACGCGTAACAACGAGTTTTGACTAATCCCCCACATAAAATACGGATCAGCT